CTGACTCCAAGCTGACTCGCGACGGGAAGGTGGAAAATGAGGCCGCATGGCTGGCGCAGCAGCAAGTTGAGCTGCAAACCCCGCCCCCTCCAATCCACCCGATTGGGGGCTTACCTGTGGGTGAGGTGCGCCAGCCAGGTGAGTGGGGGGAGCAGGGGGCAATGCCCCCTGCATAAGGCAGACATCGGGTCCCGCCCACAACCCCTCCCCTCTTTGCAAGAGGAGAGGCTTTTTTGAAGCCTAACTACAGGTTAATTGGGAAGAAGTATCGATAGGAAATATCTGAAATATGAGGAAAAAGGAAAACTTGACTTGCTCTTCTTATCAACCTCACTTTTTCATTACAATAATTTCCACTAGTTTAATGTTATGCCGCCAAATGATACATCCTCATCAAAGCTATTCATTTTTGGAATGGAAAAGAGCCCACTTTATTATGCTAATGTTTTCAGCACTTTACTAGAAAAGAAATTGCATTTTCTTTATAAGTTTGGGGATCAACGCTCCCTATCGCTCCATGTTTGGTAGTTTGGCAGGCCTTCTCTGCCCTATGGGGAAGGTTTCTGGTTCAGGGATCAAAAGTGCATGAAGGAGATAGGAAAGGGGTCAATAAGAATTGGGGTGCGTACTCCCAATGGCTTCGCTCACGAGGATCACAGGAACATGCAAGCCCACTCACCACCAGCGGGTGGAATCTTGAGTGTAAGCCACTCTGGGAATATTTTTGGCTGAACAACAGGGTACAACTTTCAGAAGACATGTGAAGGCAGCCCTGTATTGGAAGTTTTAAATGTTTCATGTTTCATTTTTTAATTATTATTACAGTCATACCTCAGAAGGCAAACAGAATCCATTCTGGAAGTCTGTTCAACTTCCAAAACATTCGGGAACCAAACCACAGCTACCAATTGACTGCAGGAAGCTCCTGCAGCCAATCAGAAGCCGTGGAAGCCACAATGGATGTTCAGTTTCCAAAAAACTTTCGCAAACCAGTACAATCACTTCCAGGATTGTGGCGTTTGGGAGCCAAAACGTTTGACTAGCAAGGCGTTTGACTTCTGATGTATGACTGTATTATTATATTCTGATGGAATGCTGCCAAGAGTGGCTGGGGCAACTCAGTCAGATGGGCAACATCATCATCATCATCATCATCATCATCATTATTATTATTGCTGCTGCTGCTGCTACAAGAAGTGAGATGATGATAGATAGATAGATAGATAGATAGATATATGATAGATAGATGATAGATAGATAGATAGATAGATAGATAGATAGATGCTCCCCTGAGCACAGGACAGTTAACTCTGCATCTCTATTCCCTCCACTGGAATTTTTGCACCAAATGAGTGTGCTTTCACCCCTTCTCCCTGTTTCATTAGTATATAGTACTGCTCCCCCCCTTTAAGAGCTTATTTTTAGTATTTTGGGTTATGACTGTATTAGGTGAAATACACCCTTGAATTTCTGCGTATATGTGGCACCACATTAATTAATTTGAAACTGGATATTTTTTCCACCCCACCTGCAATAAATAAATGCTTTTCTATTTCAAATTGAATTCTTGGCATGGATGTGAATTTCTGGGTTCTGTAAATTTTAGACACATTCTCAGGGTAACACAAAATTGATTTGCACAAAAGATCCGCATCTCAGACAACCACAGGTACATGGAAGTACATGGATACACATGTTCCCAGGCACATGTAATGTAAGGTGGCTTCTGATATGTCCTGTGCGTTACGCTGCACTAGCATAGGGCCAGGACTTTGCACATTATTTATTTACTATAGATATTTATAAACCATATTTCTGGATCACATCCACCCAAGGCAGAAAACAGCAGTGCAGCAATAAAAATGCAATGATATAGTACAGGATTGTATATATTGCAATATTAATATAATAATAAAACTTTAAAATGGAAAAAAGTACAAAAAACTAATAATAATCTAACAATACTTCTGAATTTCTCTTCCTTAAAAGTGAATCAAGCACCAACATTATCACATTTTCAATGTTTGTTAAAACTTTTGCTTTCCCTAAGCCTTCCCAAATTAGCCTATTTTACATCTGACATTTTAATTCTTGTTGATTTTTTTTTTTTACATTTTAACACTTTTATGATTGTTTATCTATTTTATGTATTCTCACTATTTGGGTATTCTGTAAATGTAGAGTGGTATACATTCTAAAATAAAATAAAATACATTCCACTAGTATAAAACTAATGCCCAAACTACAGCAGTGGTAAAGCAGTAAAACAGGGGCATGTACAAAATCCACATGAATTAATAGCCATTTAAAACAGATAGACTTAAAACCCTTTTTTGAAAACTATGGGTGAAAGGGCCAACCATACATATCTCAGTAAGGAAATTAGGTAAGGTGGATGCCATGATTGAGAAGGTCCAATCTCCAGAGCTCACCAAACTAATTGATGTCAAAGGTGGGTCAATGAAGAGGTTGTCTAATGCCAACCATAAAACCTGAGCAGGTTCAGATGTTATCAAAGTCAGAGATCTTTAAGATCAGCAACATTCTGTTAGTACAGAGCTCTTTGCCCGAGTGCTGCCTGTTTCTTCGACTTGCATAACAGATCACAGACTGGTCTAAAAATGCATAAATAAACCATTACTAATGGGAGACACTGTGACATTTTGATTTATCACCGGTCCAGTTACAGTCAGTATAACAGCATCATTAGATGAAAAGGCTATCTAATGACTACCACAGGACAAAGAGCAGATTCAATAGCTGCTTCTTAGGAGAAGACTCAACTTGACATGAGCATCTCTAACTGAACTCTTATTAAACGCCAGAGCAGCAGCTTTTGAATGGCCACCTAGATTCCATTCTTAAGTGTGCATAGTTCAAAGTCATTCTTGCCACAATGCAAGGAGGTCATGTCAACGTGGTTGAGTTTGAGGCAGAAGGTATTCTCTCACCATGGATATTTTTTCACTATCCACTCTCCCAGTAATGCATTTATCTCTTCCACATAATATGCAACACACGCACACATCCACACACCCAGGAACTTCCATCATATCAGCTATCTACTGTTTTACAATGATATTTCAGTGCATTTTAAAAGTGGGGGGGAAAGAACAGGACCCAAAGATGTTGGGGAAGCAGTGGGGAGGAAGGGAGGGTTAGGTTGAATTTGGGAAATAAAATAATATATGGAACAGCAAAGGATATAATAGATTCTTATAGAGTAGTAATATATTGTAACCAGAATAAAAGTTCAAAAGGGGAAGCAAATGTATTTTTAGTATTTTCATTATTGTAATAGTTATTATTATTTTTTATCGGTAGAAGGCAATGTTAATTCAGGCTTCTTCGTTTTGCTGTCTGTATAATTTTCTTAAGTCAATAAAATAAAAATAAATAAATAAAAGATGTTGTCCAGTTAGCAAACTAAAAGTACTTCAAACTTTGTAAACACAGAAGATCTTGTAAAGTCCTTGGAGCTGAATGGGAACGATGAAATAGTTCCTTCTCCCTAACTAGTGACATATCTATGTCTTTTTTTTAGGAGAAGCAACAAACCAGTGTGGCATATTTTCATCTTCAAGTCACAACACTTCCCAGAAACAAGCAACAAGGCTCTCAAATTACATTTATGCTGAGAAAAGTGTAATCTAACTATCAAAGGAATTGTACTCTAAAGTGCTCCAAATACTGCAAACACAGACTGGATATAATCTCTCCTGACTAGATTTAAAGAAGAGCAGCAGTGTTAAAAATAGTCAGTTCCCACCCACCACCCCCAAAATACAGGCAGCATCTGACAACTGTCTCCAAGGTGCCTTGCTGCATTAAGAGGACACACTATGGCTGATGTCTCTGTATGTAGCCCTTCCAGATACCCAATCCTTAGTTTTAAAATATGCTTATTATACAGCCCAGAGCAACTTGGCAAAGGTTACATAATGTTTTATTTCAGTCTGTATTTTATTTTTAACACAAGATTGCAAATTAATCACACCCAGATTCTGCTTTCAGAGATTGCATCTCTATTAGGACTTTGATTGGAAGCACAATCTTATTCATGTTTACTCAGAAGTAAGGCCTATTGAATTTAGCAGGAAATAAATCCCATGCCATGGTGACAATGTTGTTCGATCAGGGCAAGCATTTTGGCTTGCCAGGCAGAATGATCTCCCTCTCCTCCCCCATTATCTGTACTGGAGGTTTTGCTGCCTCCCCCAGAGCCAATTTTGGGGGTTTTGGGCACACGAGGCAAGGAAATAGGGGGAAGCCCTGTTGTGCAAGCCTACGTTCTTGTGCAGAGCTTCTGCTGACTAGTTACACCCTACCCAGTGGGACTTCTGATTAAAAATAGAAAGGATTGCAGTGCAAAGCTTGCAAATTAGGCTGATTTTCTCTTGTCATTCAGATAGATAGACAGACAGATAGATGAGTAGATAAATATGAATACCAGCAGTGGGGCATGAGGAAGATAAGCAGTCCTCATTGGACAGAGATGGGGTGCAACCAAGTCAGGGGAGCTTGGGTTTGGCAGGAATGCCAACCCGTAACTCCCCAGCCTCAACACTGCCCTGCTTTATCTCCATCCTGGTGCCACTGCTGCCACTCCACTCCCACCTCAACCTTTAATTCACACAATTAAAACAATATCTATGAGGTGCCAGCTACCTCAACTCAGCTGATAAGAAGAGTTTGGATTTGATATCCTGCTTTATCACTACCCGAAGGAGTCTCAAAGTGGCTAACATTCTCCTTTCCCTTCCTCCCCCACAACAAACACAATGTGAGGTGAGTGGAGCTGAGAGACTTCAAAGAAGTGTGACTAGCCCAGGGTCACCCAGCAGCTGCATGTGGAGGAGCGGGGAAGTGAACCCGGTTCACCAGATTATGAGTCTACCACTGTTAACCACTACACCACAATGGCTTTCTTATAGACTATAGTCATAGAATCATAGAACTGTAGAGCTGGAAGGGACTACAAGGGTCACCCAGTCCAATTTTTGCCCAGTGTGGGGCTCAAGCCCACAACCCTGAGATGGAGGGTCTTATGCTCTACTGGCTGAGCTACTCTAGCAGTCATGTATATGGAGTAGAAGAAGATGCAGGCACAATGATTTACCTGGCAAACATTGGAAGCTGCTTTATATACTGACTCAGATACAACTCCAGATACCAGAATCTACCTGGTTCACCATTGTGTGTACTGACTGGCTGCAATAGATTGAGATACTGTAGAAGTCTTTCCTATCCCTATCTGGGAATGACATAGATTGATCCTGGGACATTTTGCATGCAAGGCAAGCACCCTACTTCTGAGCTGAAGCAGTTTCACCTTCAAGTAGCTCTGTGGAACCTAATTCTAATTTAGGCAACATTACAGTACCCATAAGGCATAGATCTCCCAAGTGTCAAATTACCCTCTCTCTTTTCGTACCAATTTTGCAATGAGCTATACATATATGTCTAAATCCAAGTGCCTTAATATTGCTGTGAGTCATGCTGTCTTGAGCTGAGCAAAGTGGAGAGCTGGCTCTCTGCCAAGGGTTTCTATAGGTTGGCTATTGGTGGAGGACAATGTATATTAATAAGCAGTTGGCTTTTCCAAGCATTTCAGATAAGAGACACCCCCACCTGTAGTGGGCAGAAACTAAGGCTGCATGCACAGTGTACCTTTTTAAAGCACTGCATTCTTTTTTTAAAGCACATTCAAAGCATATTCCTTCCCTCAAAGAACTCTAGGCACTGCAGTCTACCCTAGCAAGCCTTCATGAACTACAGTGCCCAGAATTCTTTGAGGGAAGGAATATGCTTTGGAATGGGCTTTAAAGTTACGGTGTGTATGTAGCCTGAGTCAGCAGTAAAGTGAGGGTAAAGTTAGGGGGTGGTGGGATACAAATGGCTCGCAAGGCCCCAAAGGTACCTTAGTTTTTTCCCCACATCATAAAATTTGCAGCTGCTGCAATGATAACAGCTGTTTTCATCCATCTGTGCTGCATCAGGTAAATCAGTACCAGAAGAACAGCCCTGATGTCAATGGGAGAATGTGTCTGTGGCTTCCAGCATTCTTCCGTAGTGTCACCAAGATGCCTGCCTATAGGAACACAGGAAGTTGCCTCGTATAGAGTCAGACCATTGCTCCATATAGCTCAGCATTGTCTAGGATGGCTGGCAGAAGCAATTCAGGATTTCAGGCAGGAATCTCTCCCAGATGCTGGGGATTGAACCTGGAACTTCAAGAAACTCTCCTTCTCTTTCAGTGCTGAGCAGCAGATTGGTGCTGGAAAATTGGGAAGTTTCTCAGGCCTTCATAAAAACATCAGCACATCAACCAAAAAGGGTCCAGCTTGGAGTCTGCAAAGAAAAAGGCATATTTATTTATTTTTTCAGTTTAAGTTCATCTCAACTAGAAACCTGATAAAAATGTGTGCCAGTTAAGTTTGTCAAATTAAGTTTGATATGGATTTCTCTTTTAGAACGAGGTGGTTTGAATTTGGGAGTTAGGGCTGAGTCTATACGACTCATTTACCAACTTAATATGAATGTATGGAAGGTAGGAATCTGCCTCATTTCATTGGGCCATTGGGCCACCTGTTCAGTATTTACAATGATTAGAGAAGCGCTCTGCAAGTCTCACAGGAGTGTTTTTCAGCCCTACAAAAGATGTCAAGGATTGAACCCAGGATGTAGCCCTTCCCGAATCTGTAATTTAATTTTTACATTTGTAAATAAACAGCTTATTAAAAAATAAACCCAGTTCTTTCTCCTCCAATTAACTGTCCCAAATCTCCCATTGTTCAGAAATGGCAGAGAACAAAATCTTAGCATCAAGGACCTCTGAAATTCAGAAGAGCCCACTTGGATTAAAGCAAAAGCCTATCGAGTCCAATATTCCGCTCTCACAGTGAGTGGCCAGCCAGATGCCGATGGGAAGCCGACAGGCAGGGCAGAACCGTGACAAATGTGATATGCAGTACTTTCATCTCAGTTCTAAATATGTTCACTTTGAAGTGTTTCTCTCTCAGAAACCTCCCCAATGGGACCTGCTATTCCATGGGGCTATACCATGTCACTTGTATGTGTTAATATAAAACAAACAAATAAATATTGTGAGCACATGAGGAAGAAGAAGAAGAAGAAGAAGAATTTGGATTTGATATCCCGCTTTATCACTACCCGAAGGAGTCTCAAAGCGGCTAACATTCTCCTTTCCCTTCCTCCCCCACAACAAACACTCTGTGAGGTGAGTGAGGCTGAGAGACTTCATAGAAGTATGACTAGCCCAAGGTCACCCAGCAGCTGCATGTGGAGGAGCAGGGAAGCAAACCTGGTTCACCAGATTACGAGTCCACCGCTCTTAACCACTACACCACACTGGCTCTGAACTGCAGATACTGATTTCAGTGCCACTTAGACATGTGGGGGCCAAAGCACAAACTTAATAAGATGTCACCTTTAAAGACCACCAAGCCATGGAGCATAGCACTAGAAGCATGCTTCCCCCGCTTAGGCATTTTGCAAAGGAAAAGATGGTGCACCCCATTTCATGTGCTGAAACTTTAATTGAACTCCGCTCAATATTGATCCAGAGCAGAACTCCAACGTACAGTTAGTAGAGTAAAAACTTGCAGGAGTTCCCCCCCCCCCAAAAAAAAAAACACCATAGACCAGAGGCGATTGTATTTCATCCAGCAGAGTTTACTAGTGCTACTGAAGGTAAATGAGCATAATGGTCAAAAATCCAATACATTCAGGATTGGCACTGTCCATAAGAAATCCAGTTTCAGCCAACTTCGAAAGCAAGCCAGAGCAAGTAGATAAATAGGTACCGCTGCTGTGGGAAGGTAAACGGCATTTCCATGCGCTCTGGCACTCATCACGGTCCTCCATGCGCCAGCAGCAATTTAGTCATGCTGGCCACCAAGAAAACTATCTGTGGACAAACGCCGGCTCCCTCAGCTTGAAAGCGAAGCCTTTGGCTTGAAAGCGAGGCCCCATAGAGGCCTTTGACTGGATTTAACCATCCAGGGGTCCTTTACCTTTACCTAAACTTACAATAACCTATAATAAGTCTAAACCTGAACACTATAGCATACTATGTACAGAACACCACACCAGAAGGAAAACAGATAAGAGAAAGTGAAAGTGAAACCCAGGCTTCTTCTGGCCCTACTTTTATAGTCAGCATGACCTTGACAGAAAGAGATAAGAGAACCAATTCAAACCACCTGTACTCAGCTTCTCAGAAGGTATAACCCAAACATCATGAACCTTCTGCTTGTTTCTTTCACACAGAGAATCTTTCAGAACCCTATTGAATTAATTAGAATAGGAAAAACCTCCACATATCGGATCAATGCTTTCTGCACTAAGAAATGAAAACTGACAGAAACAACCTAGACTGGAATATGGAGCCTACTTCAGCATTGGCAATGGTACAGTAGCAAGGTATCTTAGGGTGTGGTGGGCAGGCCTATTTTCCTTCACATCTCTATGCTCCCACACCTTGCCATTGCTCCCCAGCATACATTGCCCAAGGCAGCTGTTTCATGCTGCCTAATGGCATGAATGGTCCTATTTCCTATGAATGCACACGCTATAAGGAGGATAGCTGTGTTCATGTAATGTGTGAGGTTACCAGAATACAGGAAGTGATGTCCACATTTTCTCCACACAGCCAGTTCTCTAGAGCTGAATGATCTAATGGGTGCATTTAAATGTATTACAAGGCATTCATTTTCACAGTGGAAACACCTTTACTAAAATTTGAATAAATTCAAGCGAATGGCTTAATTAGAAGCAATGTCCAGTAAAGCATCCAGCAGGGAAGCTAATTACTCGATTGTCAAATGGAATAACAATAATTTCCCTTACAGTGAAAGCTCTCCCACTGTAATTAGGTTATGTCATACTTTGCGCTGAAGGGAATATTAAAAAACACAAGAGTAGCCAGTTCCATCCACTGTTTAATTTCTATTTATAGACTTATGCTAAATTGCTGCCTCTGCGATACAGCTGGAACATCAATAACCAGAACAACAACAGCTCTTCTGTTGGTCAATTAAGTTTGCTATGTGGAAATTAATGTAAATATGAATCTTGCAAGTACTTTTTTTGTTGACTAATCATTTGTAGTGAAATCCCAAAAAATGGATGAACACATGAAATATTCAGAAGAGAAGGCTCAGAAGGAATGGGTTTTAACATGTAATCTTAATGAATTAAAATGCATGTATTTATGTAATATCCAGAGCTGCAACATTGCTTATATTCAATGAACATTTTGCCATTGACTTTGATAGCAGCAGAAACACACCCTAGGTTGGTATTCCTTTTTGGGTGAGGAGACTTCCCCAAATACCAATTTAATGCTCTACCAACTAATCCAATGACTTGATTTCACAGGGGTTTACAATGAACAATAAAATGCCCCCCTCAAAATCAGTGTAAGATTGATAAGAATCAAAACTGTAACCTGTAGTGCTAATAATCCACCTAAGTGATATAGTTCATCCAATAGAAACAATCCCAACTCTGCCAAAAGGCATATTAAACAAAAAAAATGTTTTTGTGTGTTTTCTGAAGGACAGAAGGCATTCACCAACTAAAAATAAAAGCATAAGAAAAACCTGCTGCATCAGGCTAATGGTCCTTACAGCCCAGCACTCTGCTCTCCCTGTGGCCAACCAAATGGTCATGGGAGCCCAGGAAGTAGACTTGCATGTAGCAGCACCTCCTTACTTGCAATTCACAGCAACCAGCCTCTGAGGTAAACTGTCTCTAAGAGCAGAGGCACAACGTAGCCATTTGCCTAGCAGCCACTGATAGATGGGCCCAACTTATACATGCTCATCAATCTGAATGGGTCTACTCTGAGTAAAATTTTGTTGTATGCCACCCAGTGTGGCCTACTTTTCATGCTGTTTGCCTCATTTGAGTGGGGCCATGGCAACTATAAAGGTGCCACCACAATTCAGGTCCTCATAATATTCCATTGTAGTTCAGATGTTGTGGACAACTATCAGTGGTCTGAGTGTGAATTTCATTGTGGATTAGAAGGTCAAAGCCAGCTTTCTGT